GTATGATGAGTCTATAATTAACTTAATGCAAAACAACAATAAAATGTCACTCAGTACAGGACTTAATTTATCACTGTATTGTTGGCACTTAGAAAAGTGCCTAGTCTAAGACAGACACTCAAATATTTGTTAGCTGAATATAAAGGAAGGCATAAAAGTACCATCGCAGACACAGCTTAGTGCATTAGAGTGTAAGAAATGGACACATCAGACCAATATCAATGTGACAATAATAGAAGTTATTTTCAAAATCCGTAAGTTTTTTCTTTTAACTAATTGTATTGACTTTTCTTTAAAAATACATGTTAAGTCTACACTATCATATTATATCACTGCATCCTGAGTTCAAACCCTCACCAGGGAGCTAACACACATGGCACAGACCTGTCTTGCCCACTGCTCCGTTGAGCAGTTTATTTCAATAGATCTGCCTGTTCTGCTCTTCAATCTGTCTCTAGTGAATCTTCTCACACCCCCTGCACCTTTGGCCTACACCCAAGTTCTTGTAAGCATAAAGAGAAATAAATCTTTAAAAAAAAATACTGTTAACTAGAAAAGTTACTGACAAAACTCAGCTCCATGAATCTACTAAAAACATTAGCACAGTTCCATGGTAAGACATCATTCTTATCTTCTACAAAAATATGTACCTATTAACAATCATCACGGTTAATGGCCCTGACTTTTCAGAATTTTCCCTGTACCAGAAATTAAAGTCAAAAAATGAAATAAGGCACTACTAAGAGACTGGCTTTAACTAATGTCTAGGACTCAGAATGGTGCAGAGAATGTACTATGGAAACAGATTCTCGGCAATGCAACTAAGCAGCCACACAGGTGACTTTGAGTAAGTTTCTTCTTTTTTTTTGTCTCCATTTTCTCATCTGCTGAATAGTAATAAATTAACTACACCTAATTCATCAAGTTAGGAATCATATGTACATAAAATGAATTCTAAAAGAATAATATGCTTTACAAACATGGTATCTTTTCACATAAACACCTTCAGATTTTAAATGACTGTTTCTATTTCTTTTTATGTTCTGCTACTGTTCTTATTTCCTAAATTCAAAGTTCTATCTTACAAGGAAGAAACAGTTCCACACATAGTCCTATTTCAGACACAGTTGGGCCCTCAGTAAATTAAAAATGCACATATATCGAAGAAATTTTAAAATTGTGCCAGTGCAATACTTTACTTCGTAAAAGTTGAGCAGCAGATTACTTTCAAATAAATGACAAGTTAAGTGACATACACAAATGGTGTCTCCAGAGTTGCCAGGAGCACCACCTTCCTTTTGCACATTATTCATCATGGCCACGCATATTCACCTGCATGAATATCACCAAAGGAATGTGCTCCAGTCTGCTGGTTTCACTGGAGCAATGACTTCTGCATGAAAAGGAGTTGTCCTCTCTTTTAAACCTTGCAAGATTTCTAATGATGCCAGATTTGTTCTTCCAGTTTTATTTCCTATGTTTTGGTACTCACAGGGAGAACTTCTGGGGGAGTTGTGATCAATTTTCAAACCATTTATGTGATTCTTATGCTCCCCAGTAAGAAAATGAGGTTTAGTTTTGAAGACCATAAATAACCTAATAATTTTTAAATTATGAATGGTCCACTGAAATTTGTCAAAGAAAAGCATAACTGTTTGAAATTCAATGCATTCTGGTTCCTCGGAACAGTATTTAAACCTCAAAAACAGAATTTAAGCTTATTTAACTTTACTTATTTAACTTTACTTAGATTCTCGATTATCTACACACAAGCAGATGTGTTACAGATCATCCTTTAATAATTTATATTAAACCCTTGGATGACGGCTTTGTATTTACAGTTGAACATAGGTATCCAAGGGATGCAAAATTCCTAATAGTTCAAACTAAATAATAAAACACCTTGTAACTGTAGCCACCCAAATCAGTCATCCTGCCATTTTTCTGTTCATTGACCCAACAACATTGTCATCCTGAAACAAAACTCCTAGTTTGTTACAAAAGACTGCCTTTGCATGCTCATTTTCGTCCTTATTAATGCTCAAGGGATATTCCTGAAACAAATACAGGTCATTAAAACAAAAAATGCCCTAAAAGTACAGGTGACAACTGAATCATAATCTGAACAGTCTCCCCACCTCCCCCCCAACGATTACAAAATTAACTAATAGTCAAAGGACAGCATTAGTTGATTTCAGATCCCTATCACTTGGGGAAAACTACTTAGTTCCTAACCTGGGAACATTAGATTATTCATTTTCGCAACAATGAAAAACTGTTACATGATAGCCTAATTCCAGTTCCCCATAAGCCCATCAAAATAGAAAATGTATAATGTGTATAACATTCTGGAACTGACACCAAAAATGTTAAAGCAACATCATATGACTCTTAAAAGTTAGACACTTACGGGGCCTCCTTGGTGGTGCCAGGGATTAAACAGCGTTATGAGGCTATCTGCAGCTAGTTCCATCCCCAACCAGGCACGTGGCCCACAGGGTGCAGCAGACCTCTCCTTACCTGCCCACTGCTCTCCTTAGCAGTGTACTTCTGTAGATCCACTTGTGCTGCTCCTTACTCTGTCTCTGGTGAATCCTGTCAATCCCTGCATCTCTGCCTACATCCCAGCTCTGGTACGAATACATATATCTTTTAAAAAAATTATACACTTAAGTATTACAAAAAAATCCAAAATATGTAGAATTCAAAATTTTCAAAAACCACATCCATGACCTTCATCCTCACTACTGTGTGTCTTCTCAAACATCAGGCTACATTCTTTAACATACCACCACCTTCTGCAGGTTTATTTGAATAGTATACCAAATGAACTGAGATCAAGGCAACATGATCTGGAGGAAAGGATAGGGATTTTAGGCTCAGAAAACCTGGGTGTGAATCAAGACTTCATCCCTTTGGACTTAGATGACTATGAGTAATATTTAGCTTTTGAGCCAAAATTTCCAACAAGGGAAAAGACCACCAACTTTGAAAATTATTTTTCAGCCCAAGTTTCTTAGTTAGTGCTTTGATTATGGCAGATACATAATAAATAGGCAAAACATGCTATCAAAGGGCCAGTTCACAAACTATGAAAAGGTATCTGATTATGAAGCTCACAAACTGTATGAGATTTATTAAAGTTGTAGTAATTTCCCTTTTACTTAAAATGTTTTAATATAGAGAGGTGAAATTCACAAGGATTACAAATCTTTTTAAAACAGGCATTTTACATATCAAAAATAGTTTCAATTATCAACAGTGAAATTTGGCTAATTTTTTCAATGCTTAAGGTGCTTATACATAGTCAAACTTCACATGGTCAAAATTTTAAACATCTCTGAATAAAGTTGTATATCAGAACCCAGAGACAGACCAGTTATCTAAACAATGGTTACATGATACACTACAGCCGTCAGGCAAAGTCACAACAGGATGAGAAAAGAGCCTTCAGCCTCTCTCAGATTTCCTGGCCAATGTTATTTTAAAACTTGATCACATAAACATAAACAAAGGAAAAATCCATTTCCACCAATGATTAGGATTTATGATTTCTACTTGTAATGCCCACCATTAATTTACATTGAATGTTACAATCATTCTGTATTTCTTGTTTGTGTTTCTCGACACTAATGAAGAATGTGTATACTATGTAGTTTTACTTATTATATATTTAGAATTTTTAATCATGAACATCTTTTCTTGAAGTCGTTCATCACTTCTGTTACTGCCTTTTAAAAATCAGATTTTGAAAACAAAGCTGGGAACAATAATTAGCATGTGTCACAACACACAAATGAAAAGAGCAAGTATACAAAAGACTTCCTTTTAAATGACTTGTTTACCACTGTGCATGTAACTCCTTCCCAACTGAAAATAGTCAAAATGAGCTGAATATTTAAAAGTCAATAAGTTATTTTAAACAGTTTCATTGTTTCAAGGTCTAGAGATAGCCCAATTTGTGGTGTTTCTAAGATTAATGATAAAAGACACCAAGGTAATTTTTCTCTAAACAATTTCCAATTGGATAACCACAACCCAAGACTTCTATGAAGCTTAGTTAATTTGTACAGAAATGTCGTTTTGTTGCCAACCTTTGTACCGTGACCACCACCAACCCAAGTTCAAGATTGTATTTTATGGTGTTAAAATAGTTTCGGCTATATCTAATTTTTAAAACTTTAAACCTCTAACTATATTTAGATATACTGCAATACACCACCAGAGTGTAACAGCAAATGAATCTTTTATTTAGCATGTACAACACTCTATTAAGTTAGGTCACTATTCCTAGTTTCCCCCTAATATCTGTAGTTTAAATTTAAACAAAGCTCTGCATATTTTATGCTGATAAATGTAACATGATTTCTGAAAATGTACATAAGTAGTCCTATTAATTATTTCCTACTTAGAATCCGAGTTTGAGCATTTTCACCTTCTTTAAAGAGTTTCATAAATGTAAAAAAGCGCTTGCTCAGTAGCAAATACGTAAGTTAACATACTCAAAGCACCGTATTACTAAAAGACCACGACTAGAGCTTTAGATTGTCCCAGCATCGTTGTCCAATCATGATCAAACTATTGGTGGTGGCAGCTGATCCTCACATCCCAGAACAAACTGCACTAACCCAGCAATGAATGTAAACTTGTTTACAAATGAGAAAAAAAAAACTATCACGGAACGTCCAAGTCAGAGTTGAATACCTGCGTGCTCTGCTTCTACCTGGCAGCCAGGAAAAACACACAAAGGTGCCTTGGTGATGGTAAAGCGATGAAAAGAGACTCTCATTGTCCAGTGGAAATGAGAACTAGCGCCCTGGCGCTACCGTAAGCCGCCGCCGCGCAGGCCCACCCATCACCTGCTGCATCCACCCGCGTCCTGGGAAGGTGAAACTCGCCTACGGCCCCGGGCGGCCCGAGGAGACCAAGAAGCAGGGCCGGGCCGGGAGAAGCGAGGCCCCGGCGCTGACGCCCCGCACCGGGGAGCCCGGGACACTCACCGGTGAGGCGCGGAGGCAGGTGCGCGGCGGCGAGGCTACCTGTCGGGTGAGGCTGGAGGGAGAGGTGAGCGTCCGCGGGGTGAGCGAAAAGGCCGATGACGCAGAGGAGCGCAGAGATGGGGCGGTGGCGGCGACCCGGCTCCAGTTCGCTTCCTGCTCGGACAGATCCCGAGTCGGTCTCCGCCCGCCGGCCC